ATGGTGTCGTAGGAGCCGGTGATGAGGGCGATGAAGAGGCTGAGCACCATGTAGATGAAGAGCGCGCTGAAGGAGTACAGGTACACCTGGCTGAAGAGCCACACCAGCGCCCCGCTGGGCCGCAGCGCCGCGAAGGTGGCGAACACCCTGTGTCACCCCTGTCATCGCCATTGACCAGCGAGAAGAGACACTCGGACACCATGGACAGCGAGCGGAACTGGGGACACACACCTGTGTCACCTGTCACACCTGTAACCTGTCACACCTGTAACCCCTGTCATCACCATGTCACCCCTGTCATTGCCATTGACCAGCGAGAAGAGACACTCGGACACCATGGACAGCGAGCGGAACTGGGGACACACACCTGTGTCACCTGTCACACCTGTAACCCCTGTCATCACCATGTCACCCCTGTCATTGCCATTGACCAGCGAGAAGAGACACTTGGACACCATGGACAGCGACCGGAACTGGGGACACCCACCTGTGTCACCTGTCACACCTGTAACCCCTGTCATCACCATGTCACCCCTGTCATTGCCATTGACCAGCGAGAAGAGACACTTGGACACCATGGACAGGGACCGGAACTGGGGACACACACCTGTGTCACCTGTGTGTCCCCTGTAACCCTGTGTCACCTGTGTCACCTGTCACACTTGTGTCACCTGTGGCACCTGTAACCTGTGTGTCACCTGCATTTCACCCATGGATTTGGGAAGGAACCCAACCCCAAAACCAGGACTGGAGAACATCACAACCCCAAAACTGAAATTTGGGAATCCCCCCAACTCCAGCCCCAAATTTGGGAATCTCCCGACCCCAAACCCGAAATTTGGGAATCCCCTGACCCCAAATTGGGATTTGGGGCCACCCCAGACCGACCGTGATGTGGTGTGAGCCCAGCACAGAGATTTGGGAAGGAACCCAACCCCAAAACTGGAATTTGAGAACACTCCGACCCCAAACCCCAAATTTGGGAATCTCCCAACCCCAAACCCGAAATTTGGGAATCTCCCGACACCAAACTGGGATTTGGGGCCACCCCAGACCCACCTTGACGTGGTGCGGGCCCAGCACGATCCAGCCGCAGAAGCAATACCCCAGATAAATCACGGCCACGCAGCAGCAGAAGCGCATCACGTTGGGCAGCGCCACGCGCAGCGTCACGATCAGGATCTGGGGCGAAAAACGGGGAAATCGGGAAAAACGGGAGTTAGCCGCGTGTGGGGCGGGAAAAACGGGGTTTGGGGTGGGAAAAGGGGGATTTGGGGTGGGAAAAGGGGATTATCCACGTGTGGGGAGAGCATCACGTCAGGAGCACCACACGCAGTGTCACGATCGGGATTTGGGGCAAAAAACGGAAAAATTGGGAAAAATGGGAATTATCCACAAGTGGGGTGGGGAAAATGGGGGTTTGGGGTGGGAAAATGGGGATTGGGAATGGAAAAATGGGATTATCCACGTGTGAGGAGAGCATCACGTCGGGAACACCACGCGCAGTGTCACGATCGTGATCTGGGGTGAAAAACAGGGAAATTGGGAAAAACGAAGAAAATGGGAAAAATGGGAGTTTTCCGTGTGTGGGGCGGGAAAAACAGGAATTGTCCCCAACCCAAACGTGACAAGGAGGATCTGGGGCAGGAAAAATGGGATTTAACCCTGGCCGTGTCCCCGTCCCCAGGTGACACAGGTGACACAGGTGTCACTCACATTGTACTTCTGGAAGAAGGTCAGGTACCGAATGACTGTGACCCCGTGACTGTCCCCTGTAACCCTGTGTGGTGACATCCCCTGTCCCCAGGCTACACAGGTGTCACTCACGTTGTACTTCCGGAAGAAGGTCAGGTACCGGATGACCCCGACCCCGTGATGTCCCTGTCCCTGTCCCCCAGGTGACATCCCCTGTCCCCAGGCTACACAGGTGTCACTCACGTTGTACTTCCGGAAGAAGGTCAGGTACCGGATGACCCCGACCCACACGAGTCCCTGTCCCTGTCCCCCAGGTGACATCCCCTGTCCCCAGGTGACACAGGTGTCACTCACGTTGTACTTCCGGAAGAAGGTCAGGTACCGGATGACCCCGACCCACACGAGCAGCGTCGATGTCCCCAGCAGGATGCTGCACACGTCGTACCCTGAGAAGTTCTGTGGGGACACGGGGACAGTGCCACTGCCACGTCCCCAGGCCACTGTCACCCTGGGGAAGGTGACAATGTGCCCTCCCATTGTCCCCAGGGTGGCAGTATCCCCCCGGGGAGGGTGACTATGTCCCCAGGGTGGCAGTGTCCCCCCGGGGGGGTGACAATGTCCCCCGGGTGGCAGTGTCCCCCTAGGGGGTGGCAAGGTCCCCATTGTCCCCAGGGTGGCAGTGTCCCCAGAATAGCAATGTCCCCAAGGTGTCAGTGTCCCCAGCCTGGCAGGTTCCCATAGCAATGTCCCCAAGGTGTCAGTGTCCCCAGCCTGGCAGGTTCCCCAGGGGGTGACAATGTCCCCAAGGTGGCAGTGTCCCCAGAATAGCAATGTCCCCAAGGTGGCAGTGTCCCTCAGGGGGTGCCAGTGTCCCCAGGGTGGCAGTGTCCCCAGAATAGCAATGTCCCCAAGGTGGCAGTGTCCCCAGCCTGGCAGTGTCCCCAGGGTGGCAGTGTCCCCAGAATAGCAATGTCCCCAAGGTGGCAGTGTCCCTCAGGGGGTGCCAGTGTCCCCAGGGTGGCAGTGTCCCCAGAATAGCAATGTCCCCAAGGTGGCAGTGTCCCCAGCCTGGCAGTGTCCCCAGGGTGGCAGTGTCCCCGGGTGGTGGCAGTGTCCCTCAGGGGGTGGCAGTGTCCCTCAGGGGTGACCTTGGCCTCGATGCCAATCTTGAGCACGGTGCCCAGCACGGTGAGGACGTCGCTGGTGACGAGCAGCAGGTACCAGCCATTGAGGAACTCCAGCCGGTCCGACAGGGACACGGTGACACCGCGGCGCCGGTGCAGGAACCGGCTGAACTCCTGGGGAACATTGTCATTGTCGTTGTGACTGTCACTGTCACCTCACAGGGACACGGTGACACCGCGGCGCCGGCGCAGGAACCGGCTGAACTCCTGGGGGACATTGTCATTGTCACTGTCACTATCACTGTCACTGTCACTGCCACTGCCATTGTCACTGTCACTGTCACTGTCATTGTCACTGTCATTGTCACCTGGCAGGAACTGGCTGAACTCCTGGGGCTACATTGTCATTGTCATTGTCATTGTCATGTCACTGTCACCTCACAGGGACACGGTGACATCCACTGCCACTGCCATTGTCACTGTCACTGTCACTGTCATTGTCACCTGGCAGGAACCGGCTGAACTCCTGGGGGGACATTGTCATTGTCACTGTCACCTCACAGGGACACGGTGACATCACGGTGATGGCTCAGGAACCGGCTGAAGTCCTGTGGGGACACTGTCATTGTCACTGTCACTGTCACCTCACAGGGACACAGCCACGCTGTGGTGACAGCGCAGGAACCGGCTGAACTATGGGAACATTGTCACTGTCACTGTCACTGTCATCTCACAGGAACCGGCTGAACTGCTGTGGGGACGTTGTCACTGCTGTTGTCACTGTCACTGTCACTGTCCCTGTCACCTCGCAGGAACTGGCTGAACTCCACGGGGACACGGGGACACCAGGATTGTCACCTCGCTGGGGTGGCACCACCTCCCACCATCCATAACCAACCCAATCCCATCCCATCCCCCAAACCCCAGAAATACTGTAATTCCCCCAAATCCCATAAATCCCCCCCAAATCCCATAATTCCCCCCAAATCCCATCAGTCCCATCCCCCAAACCCCACAAATCCCATAAACCCCCCAAATCCCACCAATCCCATCCCCCACACCCCATCAATCCCATCCCCTAAACCACACAAATCCCATAATTTCCCCCAAATCCCATCAGTCCCATGCCCCTAAACCCCATGAATCCCCTAAATCCCCCCGAATTCCCCCAAACCCCAAATTCCCCCAAAGCCCCCCCAGATCCCCCCAAAGCCCTCCAAATTCCCCCCAAATCCCCCCAGAGCCCCCGTACCCTCTGCAGGAGCAGCCCGCGGGCGATGGAGCGGGCGCAGAGCACCAGGGACAGCGCACACACCGCTGTCACCAGCACGTCGAAGGACAGCCGCAGCCAGTTGTCACCTGCGGGGACACCCGCCGTCACCGCCACCTCCGGGGACCCCGGGGGGCAGCGCGGGGACGGGGACACCAAGGGGATGGGGACACCAAGGGGATGGGGACACTGCAGGGATCTTGTGTCCCCTCAGGGACAGGGGACACCTTGGGGACAGGGGACACCGTGGGGACGGGGACACCGCAGGGAAGGGGGCACTGTGGGGACAGGGGACACCTTGGGGACAGGGGACACCATGGGGACAGGGGACACCGCAGGGACAGGGGACACCCAGGGATCTCGTGTCCCCTCAGGGACAGGGGACACCGCGGGGACAGGGGCACATCAGGGACAGGGGACACTCCCAAGGGACAGGGGACAGGTGGCATCCCCCAGCCTGTTGTCACCCACCAGGGACAGGTGCCCACTGTCACCTCTGCTGGGTGTGGCAGGGTGGTGGCACTCCCAGGGACAGCCCCCCAGCCCGTTGTCACCCATTGTCACCCGCTGTCACCTCTGCTGGGTGTGGCAGGGTGGTGGCACTCCCAGGGACAGCCCCCCAGCCCGTTGTCACCCATTGTCACCCACTGTCACCTCTGCTGGGTGTGGCAGGGTGGTGGCACTCCCAGGGACAGCCCCCCAGCCCACTGTCACCCATTGTCACCCGCTGTCACCTCTGCTGGGCAGTGAGGGGTGGTGGCACGCCCAGGGACACCCCCCCAGCCCATTGTCACCCACTGTCACCCACTGTCACCTCTGCCGGGCAGCGAGGGGTGGTGGCACTCCCGGATGGCCGCGTGCGTGTCCAGGCGGATCCGCACCCGCCCACTGTGGGCGCTGTTGTCAAACGTCACCTGGGGACAGGGGTGGCACTGTCACTGTCACTGCACTGTCATTGTTGTTGTCACTGTCAGTGTCGCTGTCACTGTCACTGTCAGTGTCACCGTTAGTGTCACTGTCGGTGTCATTATCAATGTTGATTTCGTTGTCATTGTCACTATCATTGTCACTGTAATTGTTATTGTCACTGTCACTGTCAGTGTCACTGTCATTATCATTGTCACTGTCAGTGTCACTATTACTGTGTTGTCACCCATTGTCACCCGCTGTCACCTCTGCTGGGTGTGGCAGGGTGGTGGCACTCCCAGGGACAGCCCCCCAGCCCGTTGTCACCCATTGTCACCCGCTGTCACCTCTGCTGGGTGTGGCAGGGTGGTGGCACTCCCAGGGACAGCCCCCCAGCCCGTTGTCACCCATTGTCACCCGCTGTCACCTCTGCTGGGTGTGGCAGGGTGGTGGCACTCCCAGGGACAGCCCCCCAGCCCGTTGTCACCCATTGTCACCCGCTGTCACCTCTGCTGGGTGTGGCAGGGTGGTGGCACTCCCAGGGACAGCCCCCCAGCCCGTTGTCACCCATTGTCACCCGCTGTCACCTCTGCTGGGTGTGGCAGGGTGGTGGCACTCCCAGGGACAGCCCCCCAGCCCGTTGTCACCCATTGTCACCCGCTGTCACCTCTGCTGGGTGTGGCAGGGTGGTGGCACTCCCAGGGACAGCCCCCCAGCCCGTTGTCACCCATTGTCACCCGCTGTCACCTCTGCTGGGTGTGGCAGGGTGGTGGCACTCCCAGGGACAGCCCCCCAGCCCGTTGTCACCCATTGTCACCCGCTGTCACCTCTGCTGGGTGTGGCAGGGTGGTGGCACTCCCAGGGACAGCCCCCCAGCCCGTTGTCACCCATTGTCACCCGCTGTCACCTCTGCTGGGTGTGGCAGGGTGGTGGCACTCCCAGGGACAGCCCCCCAGCCCGTTGTCACCCATTGTCACCCGCTGTCACCTCTGCTGGGTGTGGCAGGGTGGTGGCACTCCCAGGGACAGCCCCCCAGCCCGTTGTCACCCATTGTCACCCGCTGTCACCTCTGCTGGGTGTGGCAGGGTGGTGGCACTCCCAGGGACAGCCCCCCAGCCCGTTGTCACCCATTGTCACCCACTGTCACCTCTGCTGGGTGTGGCAGGGTGGTGGCACTCCCAGGGACAGCCCCCCAGCCCACTGTCACCCATTGTCACCCGCTGTCACCTCTGCTGGGCAGCGAGGGGTGGTGGCACTCCCAGGGACACCCCCCCAGCCCATTGTCACCCATTGTCACCCGCTGTCACCTCTGCCGGGCAGCGAGGGGTGGTGGCACTCCCGGATGGCCGCGTGCGTGTCCAGGCGGATCCGCACCCGCCCACTGTGGGCGCTGTTGTCAAACGTCACCTGGGGACAGGGGTGGCACTGTCACTGTCACTGCACTGTCATTGTCGTTGTCACTGTCAGTGTCACTGTCAGTGTCACTGCACTGTCATTGTCACTGTCAGTGTCACTGTCAGTGTCACTGTCATTGTCACCATCAGTGTCACTGTCGGTGTCATTATCAATGTTGATTTCGTTGTCATTGTCACTATCATTGTCACTGTAATTGTTATTGTCACTGTCATTATCATTGTCACCGTCAGTGTCACTGTCACTGCCAGTGTCATTATCAATGTTGATTTCGTTGTCATTGTCACTATCATTGTCACTGTAATTGTTATTGTCACTGTCACTGTCAGTGTCACTGTCATTACCATTGTCACTGTCAGTGTCACCGTCACTGTCAGTGTCATTATCAATGTTGATTTCGTTGTCATTGTCACTATCATTGTCACTGTAATTGTTATTGTCACTGTCATTGTCAACGTTGTCATTGTCAGTGTCAGTATCCCTGTCACTGTCAACGTTGTCATCACTGTCGTTGTCGTTATCAATGTCATTGTCACTGTCATTGTCAAGGTCATTATCATTGTCACTGTCAGTATCACTGTCACTGTCATTGTTATTGTCAGTACCGTTATCATTGCCCGGTCATTGTCATTGTCACTGTCACTGTCACTGCCAACGCCGTTGTCAATGTCACTGTCATTATCAATGTTATTGTCACTGTCACTGTCACTGCCAACGCCGTTGTCAATGTCACTGTCGTTATCAATGTGATTGTCACTGTCAGTGTCACTGTCAGTGTCAATGTCGCTGTCGCTGTCAGTGTCATTATCAGTGTTGATTTCGTTGTCATTGCCACTAGCATTGTCACTGTAATTGTTATTGTCCCTGTCATTGTCAACGTTGTTGTCACTGTCGTTGTCGTTATCAATGTCATTGTCACTGACACTGTCACTGCCACCGCCGTTGTCAATGTCACTGTCAACGTCACTGTCGCTGTTATTGTCATTGCTACTGTCCCTGACGTTACACTGTCACAGCCACTGCTATTGTCACTGTCATTGTCACTGTTGTTTGTTTGAACAAGGCTGATGGCAGTTTGGGATCTCTGGAGTGGCAGTGGAACTGTTTCCTGATGAAAACATGGAGTGAATGTCCTCCAGGGAAAGAGGGAGAGGCCCTGGAGGGAGAAGGTGAGGGCCTTGGGCCTCTCCTCAGGAAATCTCCTGGAGACAGGAGCACCCTCTGCCCAGGGAGGGGCTCCTTCCTCTAACCCACCCCCTCCCAGACACCTGGAACTCTTTCCTGGCATTTCCCTCTCCCTTCATCCCGTGTGCAGCTCCTGCCCTACCCTGGCAGCGGGGCCGTGTCCCCGTGGGCAGCCCAGCTGCCACTGTCACTGTCACTGTCACTGTCACAGCACTGTCACTGTCACTGTCACTGCACTGTCATTGCCATTGTCACTGTCATTGCCATTGTCACTCTCACTGTCCCTGACGTTACACTGTCACTGCCACTGCTATTGTCACTGTCATTGTCACTGTCATTGTCACTGCACTGTCATTGCCGTTGTCACTGTCACTGTCCCTGACATTACACTGTCACTGCCACTGTTATTGTCACCGTCATTGTCCCTGCACTGCCATTGCCATTGTCACTGTCACTGTCACTATCACTGTCACTGTCACTGTCATTGTCACTGCACTGCCATTGCCATTGCCACTGTCACTGTCACAGCACTGTCACTGTCACTGTCACTGCACTGCCATTGCCATTGTCACTGTCACTGTCACTATCACTGTCACTGTCACTGTCACTGCACTGTCATTGCCATTGTCACTGTCACTGTCACTGTCACTATCACTGTCACTGTCACTGTCACAGCACTGCCATTGCCATTGTCACTGTCATTGCACTGTCACTGTCACTGTCACAGCACTCGCTGGCAGCCCCCTGGGCCCGCAGAGGGACAGAGGGACAGCCGAGGGACAGAGGGACACTCCAGAGGGACAGAGGGACAGCCGAGGGACAGAGGGACAGCCGAGGGACAGAGGGACACTCCAGAGGGACAGAGGGACAGCCGAGGGACAGAGGGACACTCCAGAGGGACAGAGGGGGACACAAAAGGGACATGAACGGGACAGGAGAGGATACGAGAAGGACACTCAGGGGACACTGGGGACACTGGGGGGGGCACTTGGGGACACTCAGGGGACATTTGGGGACACTCGGGGGCACCCAGAGAACACTGGGGACACACAGGGGGCACTTGGGGACACCCAGGAGACAGCTGGGGACACTTGGGGACACTAAGGAGACATTGGGGACACCCAGGGGACACTGGGGACACTTGGGGGACACTGAGGGGACAATTGGTGACACTTTGGGGTATTTGGAGACACTCAGGGGACACTTTGGGGTGTTTGGGAACACTTGGAGAAGTTCTGGGGTATCTGGGGACACTTGGGAACACTTGGGGACACCCAGGGGACACTTTAGGATGTTTAGGGACACCGAGGGAACAACTGGGGACACTCTGGGGTGTCTGGGGACACCCTGGGGACAACCAGGGGAGGACACCCAGGGGACACTTTAGGATGTTTAGGGACATCGAGGGGACACTTGGGGACACTCTGGGGTGTCTGGGGACACTTGGGGACACCCAGGGGACACTTTAGGATGTTTAGGGCTGGGGACACTCTGGGGTGTCTGGGGACACTTGGGGACACTTTAGGATGTTTAGGGACACTGAGGGGACAACTGGGGACACTCTGGGGTGTCTGGGGACACTTGGGGACACTTGGGGACACCCAGGGGACAGCCAGGGGACAAGTGGGGACACTCTGGGGACACTTGGGGACACTGACGGTGACGCTATAGGTGTAGCAGTCGGGGATCTCGTGGTTCAGCAGCGTTTGGATGTTGATGGCCTTGAGCTGGAACTCCACGGTGACATTGATCAGCCTGAGGGGACACAGACACCCGGGAGGCCCCGAACCCCGAAAAGGGGAAATTCACCCCAAAACACAGAGACAGGGGAAATTCACCCCAAAAACACCCAAAAAAAGGGGAAATTACCTCAAAAACACCAAAAAAGGGGAAAATCACCCCAAAAACACCCAAAAAAGGGGAAATTCACCCTAAAAACACCAAAAAAGGGGAAATTCACCTCAAAAACACCCAAAAAAGGGGAAATTCACCCCAAAACAGAGACAGGGGAAATTCACCCCAAAACACAGAGACGGGGGAAATTCACCCCAAAACACCAAAAAAAGGGGAAATTCACCCCAAAACAGAGACAGGGGAAATTCACCCCAAAACACAGAGACGGGGGAAATTCACCCCAAAACACCAAAAAAAGGGGAAATTCACCCCAAAACAGAGACAGGGGAAATTCACCCCAAAACACAGAGACGGGGGAAATTCACCCCAAAACACCAAAAAAAGGGGAAATTCACCCCAAAAACACCCAAAAAAGGGGAAATTCACCCCAAAAACACCCAAAAAAGGGGAAATTCACCCCAAAAACACCCAAAAAAAGGGGAAATTCACCCCAAAACACAGAGACAGGAAATTCACCTCAAAAACACAAAAAAAGGGGAAATTCACCCCAAAACACAGAGACAGGGGAAATTCACCTCAAAAACACCAAAAAAATGGAAAATTCACCTCAAAAACACCAAAAAAGGGGAAAATTTGACCTCAAAAACTCAGAAACGGGAAATTCCACCTCAAAAACACAAAAAAAATCAATGAAAAAGGCGAAAGTCACCTCAAAAATCTCCCGAAAAAGGGAAAATTCCATCTCAAAAATCCCCAAGAAAACCCACAGGAAAGGGAAAATTCCACCCCAAAATCCCAAAAAATCCTGGGAAAGGGAAAATTCCACCCCAAAATCCCCAAAAAAAGACAGGAAAGGGAAAAATTCAACCCCAAATCCTAAAAAATCCTGTGAAAGGGAAAATTCCACCCCAAAATCCCCCAAAAAAAGACAGGAAAGGGAAAATTCCACCCCAAAATCCTAAAAAATCCTGTGAAAGGGAAAATTCCACCCCAAAATCCCCCAAAAAAAGACAGGAAAGTGAAAATTGTGCCCCAAAATGCCGCGAAGGAATTTGGGGAAGGGAACACGAATCCCGCCCGGGGGTTTTCGGGATGGGAAGGGCCCGTCCCGGCGGGATTTTGGGGATTTGGGGGTTTTTTGGGGTTACCTGTGGAACTGGAGGGTGAAGTTGCCCTCGGGGCCGTCCAGCGGCGGGCGGGGGTCCCCGGGGCGCAGCCCCACGCACTCTGCGGGGTCGGGGTCGGGGTCGGGGAGCGCCGGGAGCGCAGAGCCCCCCGGAATTCCCAAATCCTGGACCCCAAATGGGTTCGGGACACGGGGAATGCTCCAGGAGCACCCCGAACCCCAAATCCCAAATCCTAAACTTTAAATCCCTAATCTCAAATCTCAAAGCCTAAATCCCAAGTCCCAAACCCCAAATATAGCCCCAAATCCAACCCCAAAACCTCTAATCCAAATCCCAAACCCCAAATCCAGCCCAAACCCTGAATCCCAAATCCCAAACCCCAAATCCAACCCCAAAACCCCAAACCCACATCCAACCCCAAATCCCAAAACCCCAACTCCCAAATCCAACCCCAAAACCTCAAACTCATATCCAACCCCAAATCCCAAATCCCAAATCCAGCCCCAAACCCCAAACCCCAAATCCAACCTCAAACCCCAAAGCCCAAATTTAATCCCAAACCTCAAATCCCAAACCCCCAGCCTCAAATCCCAAACCCCAAACCCCAAATTCCAAACTCCAAACCCAAATCCCATCTCAAACCCCAAACCCCAAACCCCACCCCAAATCTCATCCCAAACCCCAAACCCCACCCCAAACCCCATCCCAAACCCCAAACCCAAACCCAAACCCGACCCCCAAACCCCATCCCAAAACTTCCCCAAACACCCCAAACCCCCACCCCCGCCCGGTGTCCCCACCGGTGACCACGCTGGGGTCGATGTCGAAGGTGTCATTGCCGGGGTCGATGTCCCCCCTGCGGAAGAAGCGCTGGCACAGCCGGAGCCCGCGGCCACCCTCGGGGCCACCGTAGGCGTAGCGGCCCAGGGTCTCGTTGGGGACAGCCAGGTACTGCAGGGACAGGGACAGTGGTGGCACCTCAGTGTCCCCAGACTACCCCACGGCCCCAAAACATCTCTGTGTCCCCAAAACGTGGTGGCCAGGGTCTCGTTGGGGACAGCCAAGTACTGTGGGGACAGGAACAGGGGGCTGGGGGTGGCACCTCAGTGTCCCCAGATCACCCCATGGCCCCAAAACATCTCTGTGTCCCCAAAACTGCTCTGTGTCCCCAAAACTGCTCTGTGTCCCCAAAACATCTCTGTGTCCCCAAAACGTGGTGGCCAAGGGTCCCGTTGGGGACAGCCAGGTACGTGGGGACAGGAACAGGGGGCTGGGCCGCCCGGTGTCCCCACCGGTGACCACGCTGGGGTCGATGTCGAAGGTGTCATTGCCGGGGTCGATGTCCCCCCTGCGGAAGAAGCGCTGGCACAGCCGGAGCCCGCGGCCACCCTCGGGGCCACCGTAGGCGTAGCGGCCCAGGGTCTCGTTGGGGACAGCCAGGTACTGCAGGGACAGGGACAGTGGTGGCACCTCAGTGTCCCCAGACTACCGCACGGCCCCAAAACATCTCTGTGTCCCCAAAACGTGGTGGCCAAGGGTCCCGTTGGGGACAGCCAGGTACTGTGGGGACAGGGACAGTGGTGGCACCTCAGTGTCCCCAGACTACCCCACGGCCCCAAAACATCTCTGTGTCCCCAAAACATCTCTGTGTCCCCAAAACTGCTCTGTGTCCCCAAAACATCTCTGTGTCCCCAAAACGTGGTGGCCAAGGGTCCCGTTGGGGACAGCCAGGTACTGTGGGGACAGGGACAGTGGTGGCACCTCAGTGTCCCCAAACCACCCCACGGCCCCAAAACATTCCTGTGTCCCCAAAACATCTCTGTGTCCCCAAAACGTGGTGGCCCAGGGTCCCGTTGGGGACAGCCAGGTACTGCACGGACAGGGACACAGTGTCCACGTGCCACCTTCTCGAGGACGAAGGCCAGGTGCTCCAGGAGGTCCCGATGTCCCCAACCCCTCGATGTCCCCAACCTCTGCTGGTGTCCCCGTGCCACCTTCTCGAGGACGAAGGCCAGGTGCTCCAGGAGGTCCCAATGTCCCCATCCTTACTGATGTCCCCAGCCCCTCCCAATGTCCCCAACTCTTCCCAATGTCCCCAACCCCTGCCGGTGTCCCCGTGCCACCTTCTCGAGGACGAAGGCCAGGTGCTCCAGGAGGTCCCAATGTCCCCAAGCCCCGCAATGTCCCCAACCCCCCAATGTCCCCAACCCCTGCAGGTGTCCCCATGCCACCTTCTCAAGGATGAAGGCCAGCTGCTCCAGGAGGTCCCGATGTCCCCAAGCCCCGCAATGTCCCCAACACCCCAATGTCCCTAACCCCTGCCGGTGTCCCCGTGCCACCTTCTCGAGGACGAAGGCCAGGTGCTCCAGGAGGTCCCCACGGGTGTAGATGGCCTGGGTGTCATCGGCGCCGTCCTCGTAGCCCTTGAGGAACAGGTGCTTGAAGGCCACCGTGTTGTCCTCCTTGAAGGCCACCACCAGCTGGTTGCTGAGCCTGAACAGGATCAGCTTGGGGACAAAGGCCACCACCTCTGTCACGACCTGTCCCATTGCGGTGACACTGCTGTGTTTTGTCCCAAAATGGTGCCACAGCTTGGGGACAAAGGCCACCGCCCTGTGAACCCCTGTCGCACCGTGGTGACACTGCTGTGCTGTGTCCCAAAATGGTGTCACCCCATGCTTGGGGACAACAGCCACCATGGTCAGGATCTGTCCCACCCTGGTGACACCACCGTGTTTCACCCCAAAACGGTGTCACCCCGTGCCTGGGGACAAAGGCCACCGCTGCCATCAGCCCCTGTCCCAACACAGAGACGCTGCCGTGCTTTGTCCCAGGACACTCCGGTGTCCCTTTCAAAGTGTCCCCATGTCCCTGCGCCCCCTCCCCGCTGTCCCTGGCACCTCATTTCCAATGTCCCCGTGTCCCCTCCCTGCTGTCCCAGCCCCTCGTGCTGCCATCCCCGCTGTCCCTAACGTCCCCAAATCCCTGTGCGCCCCCCGCACAGTGTCCCAGCCCCTCACCCTACTGTCCCCGCTGTCCCAGCCCACTGTCCCCATGTCCCTGTGCCCCCTCCCCACTGTCCCCAGTGTCCCATGTCCCTGTGTCCCCTACCGGATCTCCAAGCCCCTCGCCCTGCTGTCCCTGCCTGCCATCCCCGGTGTCCCCACATCCCTGCCCGCCAAGCCTGACCATCCACCAGAGGATCCACACGGGAGAACGGCCCTACAAGTGTGAGCAGTGCGGGAAGAGGTTCACCCAGAGCTCCCACCTGATTGTCCACAAGAGGAGCCACATGGGGCAAAGGCAGGGATCTGAGGGGGAAAAAACGACCCTGGGCAGCGACGGCGGCCGGAGCTCGGAGCTGGGGGTCCCTGAGCAGCTCCAGGACGGGGAGAAGCCCCACAAGTGCTCGGAGTGTGGGAAGAGCTTCGGCAAGAGATCCTACCTGCTCCGGCACTGGGTTACCCACACGAAGCAACGGCCCTACGAGTGTGGGCAGGGCGGGAAGAGCTTCACCGAGCGCAACACCCTGACCAAACACCGGATGACCCACACCGGGGAACGGCCCCACGAGTGTGGGCTGTGTGGGAAGACCTTCACCCAGCGCGCCCACCTGATTGTCCACCAGAGAAGCCACACCGGGGAGAGGCCGTACGAGTGCGACAAATGCAAGAAGAGGTTTCAGACCAGCTCCACTCTCGTCGTGCACCAGCGCATTCACACAGACGAGAAGCCCTTCCGCTGCCCCGACTGCGGGAAGGGGTTCAGGGAAAACTCCACCCTCGTCAAGCACCGGCGCGTCCACACCGGGGAGAGGCCCCACGAGTGTCCCCAGTGTGGGAAGACTTTCAGAGAGAGCTCCCACCTGATGGTTCACCAGAGGGGCCACACCGGGGAGAGGCCTTATGAGTGTGAGGAGTGCGGGAAAACCTTCACCCAGAGCTGCAGCCTGGTTGTCCACCAGAGGAACCACACGGGAGAACGGCCCTACGAGTGTGGGGAGTGCGGGAAGAGCTTCACCCGGAGCTCAGGGCTGATTGCCCACCAGATGACCCACACCGGGGAGAAGCCCTACGAGTGTGTGCTGTGTGGGAAGAGCTTCAGTACGAGCTCCTACCTGGTCAAACACCAGATGATTCACAGCGGGGAGAAGCCCTACGAGTGCGATCAATGCAGGAAAAGGTTTCAGAGCAGCTCGGATCTCCTGAAGCACCAGCGCATTCACACCGACGAGAGGCCCTTCCGCTGCCCCGACTGCGGGAAAGGCTTCAGGCACAATTCCGACCTCGTCACCCACCGGAGAATCCACACCGGGGAGAAACCCTTCGAGTGCGGGCAGTGTGGGAAGAGATTCTCCAGGAGATCTGCCTTGACCAAACACGAAACCAGCCAGCACTAAGGGCAGCCCTGAGAGAGCCCAGAGCGCAGGAAGAGCTCCGTGCGCTGCTCCAGCTCCATCCCCCGCGGGAGGATCCGCGCTGGATGATCCCCAGGGAGCCCCGGTGATCCCTGGTGCCGGTGATCCCTGTTGGGAAGACACCTGCCCGGGGGCTCCGCATCCTCCTGGCTCGCCGTGGCCTGGATTTTTTTAAAATTTCTGTCCTTTCCAAACACCCAAATGTGGGTTTAAAAATAAAGATGTTGAACTAAGACAAGGATGGAGACATGGGAGAATTTTCCAGGGGATGAGCAGGATGCTGGGTCCAAGGGAGTTGAGAGTTCCTCGGACAGATTTGGGGGTTCCTCGGGGCTTTGGGCACGCCATGCCTGGTGGCTCCAGCTGTGCTGGGAGACCCTGTCAGGTTCTGGGGCCTCTGATCAAGGATCCTCTGTCCTGGAAGTGTCCTCATGTCCTCCTGTCCTGGTTCCAGTTGTCCCCTGTCCAGGTTCCTGTACCCCCCATTCCTGTATCATCCCACTCCCAGTCCCATCCTGCTCCCATCCTCCAGTCCAGCTCCCATTCCCTGTCCTGTATTCTCTGTCTGGTTGCTGTTCCCATATTCCCAATCCCATTCCCATTTTCCTATTCCCAGTCACAGTCTCGTTTCTGATCCCGGGCCCATCTTCCTCGTGCCTTTCCCGTATTCTCACTGTGGTTGCTGTGGAGGTGACACCCCGGGATGTCACCAAGGAGGGGGGGGGTAAGGGGGGAGCCCCGCCTGGGGGATTTGGGGTGGCCCCGCCCCCTTGATCTGGAGACCCCAAATCCGAGCTCCGGGACCGGACACCGGGACCGCCCCGACCGGGCTGCGAGCTCCGGTACCGAGCAACGGGACCGTCCGGACCAGAATCCGAGCTCCGGCACCGAGCAACGGGAACGTCCGGACCGGGCTGCGAGCTCCGGGACCTCCCGGATCGGGCTCCGAGCTCCGGTACCGAGCACCGGGAAGCCACCAAGGACCCCCAGAAACAGCTCCGAGATCCGGGACCGGACACCGGAACGGTCCCGACCGGGCTGCGAGCTCCGGGACCGGACACCGGAACCGGGAAGCCACCAAGGACCCCCAGAAACAGCTCCGAGATCCGGGACCGGACACCGGCACCGCCCGGACACCGGAATCCGAGCTCCGGTACCGAGCACCGGGGACACCCCGGACCTACCGGAGTCCCCCTCGCGCTCACTCCAAGCACCAACACCGGACCCCAGACCCACCGGGGACCCCCGGCCCGGGCGCTGCGCTCCGGTACCGAACACCGGACACCCCCGGGACTCCCCCCACGGCCCCGGGATGTCCCCCCCGCACCCATGGCCCGGTCCCGGCAGGTACCGAGCCCGAAGCGGGGGGGCTGGGGATCACGACCACCCCCAACCCAAAAATCATCCCCGGGGAGGGGAATTTGGGGACCCCGGCGACCCCCGGCAAGGGGGAACTGGGGGGTCCCGGGCGGATTTCGGGGGTCCTGAGAGTTTTTGGGGGGGGGGGAAACCACAAACTTCAAGGGGGTCCCCAAAATTTTCACCTCCCCGAAAAATTCCCTGCAGCTCTGGGGGAGGGGGAGGACCCGAAATTGGGGGGAGGGTCCCCAAACCCCCGGCCCATCCTTGGGGAAGGGGAAAGCTCTGGGGGCTTCCCGTAAAGGACCGCGAGGGAACCGCTGGGTTATTTGCATAACCCCGCCCACTTAATTAAAAAACCACAAACAAAAAAACACCAAAGAAAGACCGCCTAGGAAAGTAAATTTATTTGCATAGCCACGCCCACATAAAAATTCAAACCTCCCGCCAAGGGAAACATTTACATAACCACGCCCAAAGCACCACCCAAAGCACTGCGCGCCTCTCGCCTTAACACCCACCAATCACAGCGCAGGATTCCAACTGGATTTGCATAACCACGCCCACCCCTCCCCCCGCCGGCCGCAGCCCCGTCCGGGCGCTGCTCGCTCCCAGTTCCCTCCCAGCGCTCCCAGTAAGAGCGGCCCCGGCAGGGAGAGCGCTCCCAGTGTCCGCCCGCTGCTGCCAGCATCGCTGCCGCTGCTCTCCGGATCGCTGCCGGCGCTCCCAGCATCGCTGCCAGTGCCGCGCGGGCCGGGGCCGCTTGGGAACCCGCCCGGGGCAGAGCGCGGCTGCTTTTGGGGGTCGGCACCGCCCGGGCCGGGCTGGGAGCGAGGGAGCAGCGGCAGCGAGAGGGGGGACAAAGGAAGAGGAGGAGGAGGAGAGAGGGAGGAAGAGGAAGAGGAGGGACAAAGGAAGAGGAGGAGGGAGAGAAGGAGAGAGGGAGGAAGAGGAGTTCCCAGTCCAGCTCCCATTCCCTGTCCTGTATTCTCTGTCTGGTTGCTGTTCCCATATTCCCAATCCCATTCCCATTTTCCTATTCCCAGTCACATTCTCGTTTCTGATCCCGGGCCCATCTTCCTCGTGCCTTTCCCATATTCTCACTGTGGTTGCTGGTTCCCTGTTCCCTGTCCTGTTCCAATATTGTCCTCCCCGCTCCCATTCCAGGTTCCTCTCCCATATTCCCTGCCCTAGTCTCGTAATCCCGGACCCATTCCCAATCTCTGCCTCATATTTTCAGCCCAGTTCCCAGTCCTGGTCCCAGGCGGGGATGCGAGGGGGAAAGAGCCAGGCTGGGCCGGGGAGGCGGCCGGAGCTCGGAGCTGGGGGTCCCTGAGCAGCTCCAGGACGGGGAGAAGCCCCACGCGTGCTCGCAATGTGGGAAGACCTTCAGGTGGAGATGCTGTCTGGTTGACCATTTCAGAATCCACACTGGGGAGAGGCCCTACGAGTGTGGTCACTGCAAGAAGAGGTTTCAGACCAGTTCCAAACTCCTCGAGCACCGGCGCACTCACACCAAGGAGAAGCCCTTCGTCTGCCCCGACTGCGGGAAGGGCTTCAGTCAGAAGTCCAACCTCGTCACCCACCGTCGCATCCACACCGGGGAGAGGCCCTACAAGTGTGGACATTGTGGGAAGAGCTTCACCACAAACCAGCAGATGATTGTCCACCAGGTGATCCACACGGGAGAACGGCCCTACAAGTGCGGACACTGTGGGATGAGCTTCACCCTGCGCTCCCGCCTGGTTTTACACCAGAGGAGGCACCTGGGGCATTGGCGAGGATCCGAGGGGGAACGACCCTCCCTGGGCCGGAGCTCGGAGCTGGGGGCCCATCGGCAGCTCCAGGATGGGTGGAATCCCCACAGGTGCTCGGAGTGTGGGAAGAGCTTCACGTGTAAATCCTCCCTGATTTACCACTTGCGAATCCACACCGGGGAACGGCCCTACAAGTGTGGCCAGTGTGCGAAGAGCTTCAGCACAAACTCCTGCCTGATCGTCCACCGGAGGATCCACACTGGAGAGAGGCCCTACAAGTGCGGGCAGTGCGGGAGGGGCTTCACTTCCAGCACGGCGCTGACCGTCCACCGCAGGAAGCACACGGGGGAACGGCCCTACGAGTGTCTCCAGTGTGGGGAGAGCTTCAGCCGCAACTCCCACCTGAGTGTCCACCTGATGGGCCACACCGGGGAGAGGCCCTACCAGTGTCCCCAGTGTGGGAAGAGCTTCAGGACGAGCTCCTGCCTGATGAAACACCAGATGATCCACACCGGGGAGAAGCCCTACGAGTGTGGGCAGTGCGGGAAGAGCTTCATGGCGAGATCCTACCTGGCTGTCCACCAGAGGAGCCACACCGGGGAGAGGCCCTACGAGTGTCCCCATTGTGGGAAGAGCTTCAGCACGAGCTCCTACCTGATCGTCCATCAGAGGATCCACACCGGGGAGAGGCCCTTCAAGTGTGGGGAGTGCGGGAAGAGCTTCATCACCCGCTCCTTCCTGATCTACCACCAGAGGATCCACACGGGGGAGCGGCCCTACGAGTGTGATGTGTGCGGGAAGGGCTATCGCACCAGCTCCCTTCTCCTCGTTCACCAGCGCACTCACACCGATGAGAAGCCTTTCCTCTGCCCCGACTGCGGGAAGGGCTTCAGGGACAACTCCACCCTCGCCATCCACCGGCGCACCCACACCGGGGAGAGACCCTACCTGTGTCCCCAGTGTGGGAAGAGCTTCATGCTGAGCTCCTACCTGACTGTCCACCAGAGGAGCCACACGGGGGAGCGGCCCTACCGGTGTGGGCAGTGCGGGAAGAGCTTCACGACGAGCAACAGCCTGGTCTGCCATCAGAGGATCCACAGCGGGGAGAGGCCCTACCACTGTGGGCAGTGTGGCAAGAGCTTCAGCACGAGCTCCTGCCTGGCTTCCCACCAGAAGAGCCACAGCGGGGAGAAGCCCTTCGAGTGTATGCTGTGTGGGAAGAGGTTCCGGGTTAACTCCACGCTCCAGAGGCACCAGAGCGCACACTCGGGGGAGAAGCCCTTCCGCTGCCCCGACTGCAACCGGGGCTTCAAGCTCCACACCTACCTTGTCAAGCACCGGCTCATCCACTCCGGGCAGGGGCCCCGTGAGTGTCCCCAGTGTGGGAAGAGCTTTTCCGCCACCTCTTTCTTGGCCAGACACCAATGGAAGTACCACTGAGGGCAGCCCTGAGAGAGCCCAGAGCGCAGGAAGAGCTCCGTGCACTGCTCCAGCTCCATCCCCCGCGGGAGGATCCGCGCTGGATGATCCCCAGGGAGCCCCGGTGATCCCTGGTGCCGGTGATCCCTGTTGGGAAGACACCTGCCCGGGGGCTCCGCATCCTCCTGGCTCCCTGTGGGCATATCCGCAGTCCAACATCAGACATCCGTTGTGCAGAGCGGATTTGTCAAGTTCTGACCCTAGAAAAATCTCAGTTTTTCCGTCTTGTGGTGGTCTAAGCAACATTAGATAGCCTCGGAGGTCTTCTCTAACATCAATCCATTGTTTTATTTATTTCTAGCCCACGGGCATCTTCCACAGTGGAATGGAGTGGGATTGGGGCAAAACCCCCAAATTTTGGAGAGAGTGGTGTGGAAACTCCTCCAAAAAAGGTTCTTCCCACCCATCCAAGCATGTGAGTGCTCTGCCAGCAGGGACACGTAAATCCTCGTTTTGGTTTTGGAATGAAAATGTTTCTGTTCATCCCCTTGAAAGCCCTGAAGCTGAGGTAGAAATAAAGACGTTGATCTGAGACATGGATGGGGACACGTGGGGGACAGTGGCATGGGGACGTGGATATGGGGGACATGGACATGGATGGGGACGTGGCCATGGATGGGGACATGGCTGTGGATGGTGACATGGCTATGTATGGGGACGTGGCTATGGATGGGGACGTGGTCATGGATGGGGACATGGCTATGGATGGGAACATGGTGGGACATGGCCATGCATGGGGACGTGGCTATGGATGGGAACATGGTGGGACGTGGCCATGGATGGGGACAAGGTGGGATATGGACATAGATGAGGACATGGCCATGGATGGTGATGTGGCCATGGATGGGGACATGGCTATGGATGGTGACATGGTCATGGATGGGGACAGGCTATGGATGGGAACATGGTGGGACATGGCCATGGATGGGGACGTGGCCGTGGATGGGGACATGGTCATGGATGGGGACGTGGCCATGGATGGTGATGTGGCCATGGATGGGGACATGGCTACGGATGGGAACATGGTGGGACGTGGCCATGGATGGGGGCATGGCCGTGGATGGGGACATGGCTATGGATGGGGACGTGGCCGTGGATGGGGATGTGGCCATGGATGGGGACATGGCTACGGATGGGAACATGGTGGGACGTGGCCATGGATGGGGGCATGGCCGTGGATGGGGACATGGTCATGGATGGGGACGTGGCCATGGATGGTGATGTGGCCATGGATGGGGACATGGCTACGGATGGGAACATGGTGGGACGTGGCCGTGGATGGGGACATGGCTACAGATAGTGACATGGCCATGCATGTGGACAAGGTGGGACATAGACATGGATAAGGACATGGTGGGACATGGACATGGATGAGGACATGGCCTTGGATGGGGACATGGCTATGGATGGGGACATGGTCATGGGTGGGAACATGGTGGGACGTGAATATAGATGAGGACATGGCCGTGGATGGGGGCATGGCCATGGATGGGGACGTGGCCATGCATGGGGACAAGGTGGGACATGGGCATAGATGAGGACATGGCCATGGATGGGGACATGGCCATGGATGGGGACACGGTGGGACATGGCCATGGATGGGGAGATGGTGGGAATGGCTGTGGATGGGGACATGGCTGTGGATGGGGACATGATGGGACATGGCCATGGATGGGGATGTGGTGCATGGATGGGGACATGGCTACGGATGGGAACATGGTGGGACGTGGCCATGGATGGGGACGTGGCCATGGATGGGGACATGGCTGTGGATGGTGACATGGCTATGGATGGGGACGTGGCCATGGATGGTGATATGGCCATGGATGGGGACATGGCTACGGATGGGAACATGGTGGGACGTGGCCATGGATGGGGACGTGGCCATGGATGGGGACATGGCTGTGGATGGTGACATGGCTATGGATGGGGACGTGGCCATGGATGGTGATATGGCCATGGATGGGGACATGGCTACGGATGGGAACATGGTGGGACGTGGCCATGGATGGGGACGTGGCCATGGATGGGGACATGGCTGTGGATGGTGACATGGCTATGGATGGGGACATGGCGATGGATGGGGATGTGGTCATGGATGGGGACATGGCGATGGATGGGGATGTGGTGGGACACAGACATGGATGGGGACACTGGTCCAGATGGACACCAGACCGTGGATCCCAGCTGGGTGGACTCTGATCCAGATGGACACCACACCATGTGTCCCAGCTGGACACTGGTCTGGATGGACACCAGACCATGGATCCCAGTTGGATGGACACCGGTCCAGATGGACACCAGACCATGGATCCCACTCTGGATGGACACCAGCCCATGGATCCCACTCTAGATGGCCATGGATGGGGACGTGGCCATGGATGGGGACATGGCTGTGGATGGTGACATGGCTATGGATGGGGACGTGGCCATGGATGGTGATATGGCCATGGATGGGGACATGGCTACGGATGGGAACATGGTGGGACGTGGCCATGGATGGGGACGTGGCCATGGATGGGGACATGGCTGTGGATGGTGACATGGCTATGGATGGGGACGTGGCCATGGATGGTGATATGGCCATGGATGGGGACATGGCTACGGATGGGAACATGGTGGGACGTGGCCATGGATGGGGACGTGGCCATGGATGGGGACATGGCTGTGGATGGTGACATGGCTATGGATGGGGACGTGGCCATGGATGGTGATATGGCCATGGATGGGGACATGGCTACGGATGGGAACATGGTGGGACGTGGCCATGGATGGGGACGTGGCCATGGATGGGGACATGGCTGTGGATGGTGACATGGCTATGGATGGGGACGTGGCCATGGATGGTGATATGGCCATGGATGGGGACATGGCTACGGATGGGAACATGGTGGGACGTGGCCATGGATGGGGACGTGGCCATGGATGGGGACATGGCTGTGGATGGTGACATGGCTATGGATGGGGACGTGGCCATGGATGGTGATATGGCCATGGATGGGGACATGGCTACGGATGGGAACATGGTGGGACGTGGCCATGGATGGGGACGTGGCCATGGATGGGGACATGGCTGTGGATGGTGACATGGCTATGGATGGGGACGTGGCCATGGATGGTGATATGGCCATGGATGGGGACATGGCTACGGATGGGAACATGGTGGGACGTGGCCATGGATGGGGACGTGGCCATGGATGGGGACATGGCTGTGGATGGTGACATGGCTATGGATGGGGACGTGGCCATGGATGGTGATATGGCCATGGATGGGGACATGGCTACGGATGGGAACATGGTGGGACGTGGCCATGGATGGGGACGTGGCCATGGATGGGGACATGGCTGTGGATGGTGACATGGCTATGGATGGGGACGTGGCCATGGATGGTGATATGGCCATGGATGGGGACATGGCTACGGATGGGAACATGGTGGGACGTGGCCATGGATGGGGACGTGGCCATGGATGGGGACATGGCTGTGGATGGTGACATGGCTATGGATGGGGACGTGGCCATGGATGGTGATATGGCCATGGATGGGGACATGGCTACGGATGGGAACATGGTGGGACGTGGCCATGGATGGGGACGTGGCCATGGATGGGGACATGGCTGTGGATGGTGACATGGCTATGGATGGGGACATGGCGATGGATGGGGATGTGGTCATGGATGGGGACATGGCTGTGGATGGTGACATGGCTATGGATGGGGACATGGCGATGGATGGGGATGTGGTCATGGATGGGGACATGGCTGTGGATGGTGACATGGCTATGTATGGGGACGTGGCTATGGATGGGGACGTGGTCATGGATGGGGACATGGCTACGGATGGGAACATGGTGGGACATGGCCATGGATGGGGACGTGGCTATGGATGGGAACATGGTGGGACATGACCATGCATGGGGACAAGGTGGGACATAGACATGGCTGAGGACATGGTGGGACATGGACATGGATGAGGACATGGCCTTGGATGGGGACATGGCTATGGATGGGGACATGGTCATGGGTGGGAACATGGTGGGACGTGAATATAGATGAGGACATGGCCGTGGATGGGGGCATGGCCATGGATGGGGACGTGGCCATGCTTGGGGACAAGGTGGGACATGGACATAGATGAGGACATGGTCATGGATGGGGACCCTCTCTCCTGTCCCCTGGCCATGGATGGGGACATGGTGAGACGTGGCCATGGATGGGTACATGGTGGGACATGGCCATGGATGGGGACATGGTGAGACGTGGCCATGGATGGGGATGTGGTCGGACACAGACATGGATGGGGACACTGGTCCAGATGGACACCAGACCATGGATCCCAGCTGGACACTGGTCTGAATGGACACCAGAGCCATGGATCCCACTCTGGATGGACACTGGAGCGGATGGACACCAGACTATGGATCCCAGCTGGACACTGGTCTGAATGGACACCAGAGCCATGGATCCCACTCTGGATGGACACTGGAGCGGATGGACACCAGACTATGGATCCCAGCTGGACACTGGTCTGAATGGACACCAGAGCCATGGATCCCACTCTGGATGGACACTGGAGCGGATGGACACCAGACTATGGATCCCAGCTGGACACTGGTCTGAATGGACACCAGAGCCATGGATCCCACTCTGGATGGACACTGGAGCGGATGGACACCAGACTATGGATCCCAGCTGGACACTGGTCTGAATGGACACCAGAGCCATGGATCCCACTCTGGATGGACACTGGAGCGGATGGACACCAGACTATGGATCCCAGCTGGACACTGGTCTGAATGGACACCAGAGCCATGGATCCCACTCTGGATGGACACTGGAGCGGATGGACACCAGACTATGGATCCCAGCTGGACACTGGTCTGAATGGACACCAGAGCCATGGATCCCACTCTGGATGGACACTGGAGCGGATGGACACCAGACTATGGATCCCAGCTGGACACTGGTCTGAATGGACACCAGAGCCATGGATCCCACTCTGGATGGACACTGGAGCGGATGGACACCAGACTATGGATCCCAGCTGGACACTGGTCTGAATGGACACCAGAGCCATGGATCCCACTCTGGATGGACACTGGAGCGGATGGACACCAGACTATGGATCCCAGCTGGACACTGGTCTGAATGGACACCAGAGCCATGGATCCCACTCTGGATGGACACTGGAGCGGATGGACACCAGACTATGGATCCCAGCTGGACACTGGTCTGAATGGACACCAGAGCCATGGATCCCACTCTGGATGGACACTGGAGCGGATGGACACCAGACTATGGATCCCAGCTGGACACTGGTCTGAATGGACACCAGAGCCATGGATCCCACTCTGGATGGACACTGGAGCGGATGGACACCAGACTATGGATCCCAGCTGGACACTGGTCTGAATGGACACCAGAGCCATGGATCCCACTCTGGATGGACACTGGAGCGGATGGACACCAGACTATGGATCCCAGCTGGACACTGGTCTGAATGGACACCAGAGCCATGGATCCCACTC